TGGCTGGGGAGTTCTGGGAGTTGAAGTCCACCCATCTTAAAGTGGCCAAGTTTGAAAAACAGCCAAGTCCTTTTTTAGTTTTATTCTCCCCCGTGGTGTTTTTATATAAAAGGCACTTCGTTCTATGGCCTCTGATAAACAGAACGGCCAGATGTGAACCCACAGGGTTGAAAAGGTTGGTCTTGCGCTTTTTCGGCGGTGCCTCCAGGAGTGCGTAGGCGAGCCTGTCGTATCACAGCTTCTGCAACTGAATGATGACCAACTTTGCTGCCCGCTGTTGTTTGCGCAGGCCAGATTGACAACCGGAGCAAGCTACGCAACATCACGGAGCTACGCCTGTCCGGCTTAGATATCACGGACGCTTCCCTGCGCCTGATTATCCGGCACATGCCTCTTCTGGCCAAGCTGAACCTCAGCTACTGCAATCACGTGACGGATCAGTCCATCAACCTGTTAACGGCTGTGGGGACTACCACGCGGGACTCCCTAACCGAGGTTATTTTGAAAGGTAAGCAGTGGGTAAAGCCGTGGGAGATCCAACGGGTAGACAACTTGGAGGGATCTCTGCCCACCGTGACTTATTTGTCCGACTGCAATCCAGCCAGTCCCAGAGGAGAATCCTGCGGGCTCGGCGGAGGGCAGGACAGGGTAGAGAAGCAGCTACTTTTTGATCAGTGATCCCGCGCACCTCACGATGCTTTAATATCCTGCAGCAAGAGTTTGGAGGTTATTTTTATCTGTTGCATTTATATACGGCCAGTTCTTGGGGCTGCTTGACGTGACTCCCTCAACCCGACCTGCTGTGTTTTGTTTCTAGACTGCAATAAGGTGACGGATCAGTGCCTCTCCTACTTCAAGCGCTGTGGGAGCATTTGCCACATCGACCTGAGGTACTGCAAGCAAGTGAGCAAGGAAGGGTGCGAGCAGTTCATTGCCGAGATGTCTGTGAGCGTTCAGTTCAGCCAAGTGGAAGAGAAACTGCTGCAGAAGCTGAGTTAGTATTTACAAGGACAGATTTGTAAATAGAGGCAAACCAATGGAGGGGGGGAAGGACAGAAGAAATTTTACTTTTTCTCGGAGGTGTGGAACATGTGCCGAGCAAACGGACTGGATTACACAGGGACGTACGGCAGCCAAGTTAGCCATCACCTTCCAGCAGTGGTGGAATTTGGTGCTCTGGTTGGCCGTTTACGTACCTTCCTAGGATTTTCCACGCACCAAGGAGGATGTGAATACGCTGACTCAGGATTGCAGCTGGAGTGCATGTACATTTCTGAAGCATTTTTTGCAGACATCAGAAGCAACATTCATTTTGGGGTTGTTAAGGTGGGCCATACCCTGCATTCCTGCCTTTTGAACTTTTTCTGTTACATCTGACATTATGCAAAACTATTTTTGTACAAATTCCTTTAAAAAGTTATTTATGCAAAGTTCTTGAATGCATTTCAAATGTTTGTTTTGGGTTTCAAATTGCCAAATTATCCTGAAGTGGGAGAGAACTTTTAACTTCTTAAGAGACACGACCAATTGGACAGATATTCCCCAATTTTGAAGGGGTGGGGAAAATAGGTTAATACTTTAAAATGAAAAAGCATGTTTTATATACGGCTTTGTATACTCTAGAAACGCAGTAAAGCATGTTGTGGAAAGGAGGTGTATAGAGGTGTATAGATTAAGGATGAATGTGTCATTAAATTCTCCCTGTGTAAAGTTCATCTTTTCCTTAATTTTGAAGCTTCCAGTTATAGCCAGTAACGTGGAAAAGTATTTAAGACATTTGGATTCTCAAACTTGCTGCACATCTGCAAGTCAAGCAGTTTTCTGGTTTTTAAATGAGTTCTTACAGTTTAACTTGGTTAACTGCTAATTATTTAAAAGAAAACAAAGGGGCAATTCAGTATACATTAAGTGCCATTGTTGTAAAGTGGTGTCTCTCTGACTTTCTTCCTCATGCAGTTTCAACCTCTGTTGAATTTGTATAAATGACTGTACAAAAATAGAGGCTAGCTGGGCATTCCGCTCCTGTTTGTATTATAGATGTTGAATCTTTGTAATATTTCCCGGAAGGCCTCTCGGCTTCCACCACTTGGAGTCGTTCCAAGAGCAAACGCTGACAGTAAAGAGATCCTCCGTTCCGTTGTCATCGGTTATGGCGTTTGTGATCCAGGGGAATCCAGTTGCTTTGTCCCTTGGGTAAAGTAAACTTTTAATAGAAGTTCAACCTTTTGCTACCTGGTGTTGTGATTTTCTTTTCACCAGCTGTAGAAATAGTTCTTAAAAGAAATATCCAATTAACTGCCTAACAACCCCACCTCACAGACCCCTAACCTGAAGCTGTCAAACCTACAAATTTAATATGGCCCTGACACAAAGAAAATTAGGATACCTTAAGTCTCTCTGCTCTGCATCGCTCATTTCTCCGGGCTATTTCACGGTAAGGAGGGAGAGAAAAGCAAACCAAAGCCAATTAATGAAATGTTTATTAAGTCAGCCATTACTCAGAATGTTATGGATATGCTACATTCTCAATTATGCATGTATCCCCTGAACAACTTGATTTTCTACTCGGTATCCTTAGAGATATTTCTAAAAATAAAGCCATAATGTCTTGCTCCCTTCTGAAAAATGTCAACTTTAAGATATGAAAGTCCCCCCCCCCATTTTCGGAGCCTTTCTGCAAACACTGAAATTCATACTCTGCACCCAAGCTCTAAGACAGCTCCACTTTTCATATACTCTGTGCAAAAGGATTTTGCCTGGCAGGATACAAGTTTTGGTGGCCTTTCACTCCTCCCATGCTCTCTCCCAGTCATTTTAGTATTACAAATCTTCTAGAAGTCACTGCCCTGCAGGCCATGGAGCTTCTGCAAAATGTGTTGCTGAACAGGAAAGACCTCGGCAGAACTGATCTTCCTTCAGGGCCCCAAAAGCAGCGGGTGCTAAATAAGCAAGATCGCAATTCCTGGTAAATGTTCTCAAGGTGAGAAAGAACGTAAACTCAACTATTCAATTTCCCAGTGCTGATTCTGAGGACATTTCTAGGGTCTTAGAACTGAGATACAAACTGGCTCACTTGCTCACTCTCTCTGATGCACACTCCAAAGGGCGGCTTTCAACTGTTTCAATTAAGGCTACTGTATGTCACCAGATATGCACGGGGTGACATTCTGGGTAATTGGCACAAGAACTGCTCTGCCCATCCCCTCAAAAGAATTTCCCCGGCCCATCCACGGCTTGGGATGGTATGTGCTAGGTATCATTCCATCCAAAGAGGAATGTGGGGTATTAAATCCCCCTAGGAAGACACTGCTTCCATCCTGTTGCTCTCTGGGAAGGCAAACCTGCTGCTCCTCCAGCCTTCCTCTGCTTTTGTGCTATTTTTCAGAAGAGAGCAATCTGGAGCATTGGGTTTCCTGCTGCAAGTTTGACTCTACCTGATTCTGCCTTTTTAAAAAAAAAATCCAGTTCACACAGCTCTATCCTTAAGAGGCATCTGACTGCCAAAGCAGAAATACATTGGTCAAGCTCCTAAGCTTCTGGTCAGGATGCTATGAATTAATTGGAACAGAGGCTTTCCAGAGCCTCCCCACGTAACCGTGCTGGTGGTCTGCACCCCGTCTCAGGAGAAAAGGGCAGCGGGAAGCTTCCGGTTCTGGGCTCAACCGCTCATGACTTGAAGACGTGCACAGCCCTGACAACGTACTGGCGGCAGATTGGACACTCGCTCATGCGCTTGCCACATTTGGTGCAAGTGACCATGTGACCACACTCCAGTAGCACGCAGTCAATCACCGCATCCATGCAGATCCTGCAAAGATTGTCATCCTCGTCATTCAGCTGAGGCTTCTCTCCTTCTGCCAAGGAGCAACAGGTAGAGTTAGAGAAGGAGCCACAAGCCAATTCACGTTTGCAGACACAGAAGGGTCAGGTTTGCATAAACAGAGCAGGCTTTTTACTTAGGAAAGAAAAGCAAAATTACCGTATATAATCACGGATAAGCTGACCCTTGAACTTTCAACCAAAATGCCATGAAAAATGCATCAACCGCTGATAAGCTGATCCTCAAATTTTTAACCACATCAACAGGTGGGAAACTGCAAACCATTACATCATTTAAAAAACCACGTGATGTTAAGGCTCTTACGAGCTTCAACAAATCTGAGGTCTGGTCTGCAGATAAGCCAAACCTATTTCTTGGGTGTATTTTGGAACCTAAAATTCTTGGTTTATCTACAAGTATATATGATATATTTCCAAGTTTAAAGCACAGCTGGCCCTTACTTGGTTAGGACTGATACTAAATTCTTGCATTTGGCATAAAAAGAGCCCAGAAGAGGAACCCTCGAGAGATTCTTCCCTCCCTCCCGCTAGCAAACACACACAATGGAAGAGAGAAAATCAGAATACTCACGCAGCCTATGATTTGCTTGGTTCTCTCTGTAGAGACGGCTGACTTTTTCTACCAACTCCCATTTTTCACAACATCCCGAATAATTGACAAAGTTACAAGCCAGGATTTCTTTCAGCTGCCGAACGCTCAGCCCTTCAACATCGTCCAGGCTTGAAATATCAGACAGCGAGGCCCTGGCCCGCTTCCTGGACTGCCCTGGAGTCTGAAAGACAGTTATTTTTGATTGGCAAAGGAGCAGGTGAACTCTCAATGTCCAGCCAGCCTGTGGATCCTGTGAACTTGGCCAGGACAGTGGAAAGCAAAGCAACCACTGAGTCCCCTTTTCTCCACCCCCGGAGGGCATCTGCCTTGTGTAGGAGATGCCAGCCAGAAAATGCAACAGGCTGGCCACAATTATGGTCCTGGCATCTCTTTGCAACCCCCTTCCTCAGTGCCAGTTGGTATCAAACACAATTGATAAAAGATCCACTTCTGTGTTTAAGGACCAGATACCCACACAGGCACCCAATTATAACAAGATGGCAATTTGTTTAAAATGTTTTTAAGGCTCGCCTTAAACTGTACAGGAAAACTAACTGAGAAGGGCGTAAACACTTTGGCCTAAATTTCATAGGGTGGCTCATTCCTTACGTCTTGTGCTGCAAGGTCCTCCTCTGCGCCAAGATCTGCCGAGAGCCTCTCGCTTGGCCCCTAAATGCACAAGAAGTTTTACTGCGTTACTCTTGCCCATTCCCTCCCCTTCTGCCCGCTAGAAGATGCAGCTTCTACCTCCCCATCTACCCAGCTGGGAAGCTAGGGTCAGGAAAGATCCAACCCCGCCCCCTCCAGTCACATACCTGTAACTGCACTTCATTTCCTGTATTTTCCTGCCTATTGACAAGGTCTCCCTGAGAGGAGGACACAGATCCAGACAGAGAAACGGGATGGGTAGAAAAACTGGAAGTCTGTGATCGTGTGGAATACAAACTGCTACTGTCCGTATCCTCCTCGGAAGCCAATCCATGATGGCACAGGATTAGGTCTACCAAATCTTCCTTTTCTCGACATGTATCTGTTGGGATGTTCCTAAGGAGCAGGTACTGGCGCAAATCTTTGACTTTCAAACGCATCAGTTGCGGCCGCTGGAATGCCGTGTCCTGCAACAACTGACAGGTGGAGCATCGACGGAGGTTCTCTTGCAAGACTGAACACATGGAACAGAAATCTTTCTTGCATTCACAACACACGTGCTAGAAAAGAGGAGAGAGATGGGGGAAAGAGGAGTTACACACCTCACTATCAGAAGAGTGGCCAACTCAGAAGGAAAAAGAAATAGGGAATATTAAAGACATGCAGTGCTCAACTGTACAGGTCCCCTGAATTCTTAAGTCTAGCCGTTTTTCCTTACTCCGTCTAGAGTCCTGGGCATCTTTCATACGCGTTCAAGCAAGTACCACTGGAAAATGGCCAAGAGGTTCTGCCCTCAAGTTTGAATCAAAAGGTGGACCTGAGGCTTGGTATTTCTCATCTCCAAGCTACAATGGCTTTCTAACTTTCCAATCTCCATTTTATTGTCTTTATACATGATAAATAATACTTGATCCACGAGCAGAGCAGAGTTGAACACTGAAGATTTATCAGCCCTTCTGCCTTCCAAGCACTGAACACTCACCCTTTTCCTGAATACGGAGAAGGAAAGGCCACAAGATTTACAGACTTGGTTCGTTCCTGTTGCTGCCGCAGAGGAATAGACAGTGAAGTCCGTGCTTGGTGCAAATCTAAAGGGGTTTGCTCCACTCCCGAATCCAGGCTGCTGGCCACGAACCGCTCCTGTCCCCATGACTTCATTCAGCAACCCGCAGCAGGAAGCCCACATGGATGTCGCTCCTGCCTGGAAGAAACCAGCAGAAGCTACTTCAGCCTCTGGAGTGCAAGACCTTTCCCAGGCTAGAGGGGCATGCAAATACACCCTTCTGTCTTCATGACATCCTGCTGGTAACATTCCCAGCATGAGAGTCAATCTCTACCCACTTAATCAATGGAGAAGATCCATAACACTGCTGAACAAAGACCCCCTTCCCTGTCAACAAGTTCATGTTAAGTTGCAGAAGGCTCCCATTCTGCATAAAGAATTCTGGAAGAGCTACTCGGTTCTCTTGTTATGGCAATCGCGCCAGATGGCATGCAAGCTGTTTTCAGGTCTAGGTTAAGGGACGACAACAACCGCCCCCCCCATGTGCCTCTCTTGTTTCAGGAGGCAGTGCTCCTATGGCACAAATCAGTGCCTCTTCTTCATTAAGGGAACTCTGTTTTTCCCACCCAAATCCTGCCAAACTCCAGGGTGTCTATGGACCTCTGCCACACTTGTCATTTTCTTCTCTGATTTATCACAAATCATTTAGCCAAGGTAGGAAAATGAAGGAAAGAGCCCGAGGAGATTTGGAGCAGGCTACTAGCACCAGTTACAATATTCCCCATCCAAGCAGCCCAACAGAATCTCCTTGGAAGACTTTTCGGAAAGGGACCAGCCTCTTAGAAAAACTACAGAAATCCAGGGAAAGCAAAAAATGAGCAAGCAGTAATGGTAGACTTAATGGTCCCAGGACCAGGTACGACCTGGTTTCAGGGATCAGCCTGTTCAATAATCAGTGCAGATTTAGATAATTGTTGATGCCAAAAGAGGCTAAAATCCCAACAACCAGGATTGTACTTCACATGTCTTGGCTTTGCCTTGTTTTCTTTTCTTTTTAGCTGGTTTTTGCTCCTTCTTATCTTGTTCCTATTTATCCTATTTTTATTCTGCTCACTATATTGTGAGATGCCCAGAGTCGTTCTGGAGTTGGGTGGCACCAAATCAAATAAATAAAAAAAAATGTCACCTGAATAGTCTGCTGAGAAGCACACCTTCCTCATCAACAAATTCTTAGAAATGTTGTCTTTCAGGTAGTTTAACCAAAAATGTACATGAATACTTACAACATCAGGCTGTTTCTTAGGGAAAAAAACTTAGTAAGCAAAACATACAGCATTTTTTATGGAGTGGAAACTGTTGCCACCTTCTTCTGAAGGACATGCTAAACGTATCATTCCAAAAGCCTTACGCTCCGAGCAGCAACATTGAAAAAGGAAACACATCCTGTAAGTGTTCCATAGGAATGAGAAAGAATTGCAACGGAGTGTAAACTGGCCAGGATTAGAATCTATTTGCGTGACTCAGGGTTATGCTGACAATCCTACCTATAATTCGTGCCCCAAATTAGCACTAAATCTCGGAAAGTGTCTATCTAGAGAGGAGGTAGTTGTCCTAAAAGCTGCCAGAACTTGATACAGCACAGCCTCAACGAAACACAAAGTACAGCAACACCGAGATATTAAAAAAAAAAAAAGTGATTGTGGTCAGTTTTGATCTGGCAGTCGGGCCAGAGGAGGAAAGAGAGGCCATCTAAGAGGCAAAGAATCACCTCTCCCACCCCAAAGCGTTCCCCACCCTGGAACCAACCAGGTGCTTTGGTAGAATAATTTTTCCAGCCACTTTCTTTTTCGTTTCTATCAGCCTGTTTCTAGTCCGCAAGCTGGGCAAGTCACATGCTCCGCTCAAGCATTCTGAACAACCTGAACTCAGGATCACTAAGCAAGCATTGATTTGGAACCTAAGAACTCCATAAATATTTAGCAGTAATGGTGCAGGGTTGGGTTACCCATACCACTTAGTCCCCAAAGTCCTTCGGTCCTCCTCACTTTAGCCAGTTTCATTTTCTCCCTTGAACTCCCATTTCTCTCACAGCCACTCCTGAACCTCATTGACTGCCGTCAAACAGCCAGTTCTTTTTATCTGTTCAGCTCTGTTCAATCCTCCTTGGGAGTGTGCTGTTTCTTCCAAGCATACTTATTTAATAGCCATACTTTCAAACCCCACAGTCAATATCCAGAAAGATTAAATATACAAATCTAAAATCAATCCATAACAATGTATTTTTAAAAAACCTAAAACTACATGAAGACAGCATAAAGGAAGTCTCCAGCTAATCCCAATCAGCCAGAAGTTTTTTTTTTAATCGTCTGTTTACAAAGAGGAACTAGGAAGAAATATATATATGAAATTCCAAGCAAATAATACTCTTTAGGTCTGGGGCTATGGCAGAGAAGACTCTGCTGCTTGTAAATGAGAAGGCAATTCAAGAACTGTGAGTAACAAGTATTACCATCACAACTGTTGCTCCTCTTTCCTTGCTGTGAGCGACTGTGGGAAGGAGGAGATCACATCTAGAAACATTTTTCATTTTTTTCCTTTAACCTTTTATGACTACAGAAGTCCTATCCATGTTTATTCAGAAATAGACCTTTGGCATTCAACAGGATTTATTCTTATGTAAGTGGGAGGATTGCAGCTGAAGATTTATTTAATCAGATGAAGAGTCTTTGTGTATCTGCACGCATAATTTATATATATCTCACACACAAAGTACAAACCTAACGTTTACCTAAGTTTTTGGCGGGATGGTCATGGACTTTGAACTGGCCACTGAAGGATAGTCAATTGTCATGGACCTTGAATTTAGAATCCTGCACTAAGCAGGGAATAGGATTTGATGTCCCTTCTCATTCTAGTTTTCCATACTTTTGCTATGTAGTCTTCCTGGTTTTTTGCAAGGCTATTTGTTAGGCTGTATAGTTATCATATCCACTACACAAATATTCATTAAGCTCCATTCTGCATTATCACCCACAAAATGGCTGGCTAAAAAGAAATTAAAATGGGACACATGGCTCTGGTTCATGATATTTTCTGGTGGAAGGTTGGGTGTTACTTCCAAGAAAATACACCCAGGGCTGGGCTTTGTCATCTTATACACTCTTACTTTCCAATAAACAAACTGCATTCCTGCACATGTTTCTCCAAATGAGCCCACTTGAACACCAGGGGCCTTACCACCGAGGAGAGAAAATAGCAGTGCCAGTTGTTATTCAGCACGCATGGCTCAGGAAGCACACTGTCTTTTGGAAGGAACTCAAGACAAAATTCTTGGAATAATTGACAATAAAGGAAGCTCCACCTAATTTTTTGAGCCCACTTTGGCTTTTTTGCTGGGGATGGGGGAAGAGAAGAGGAAGACCATTTATATCCATAAGGGGTAATCATGCCAACACTGTTCTATCTCCTGCATTTCATTTCCGCCACTGTTCCCAATCCCAATGACAGGTGTTGGGCAAGGATCCCTGTGAGCAAATTTAGGTAGTAGGGTCATTCTGAACGTACTCAACAGGCTTTTTCCTGGTATCCCCAGCACTCTGGAATGCTCTCCCCCATCCCTGACATTTGAATGGCACCTACAATTAACATCTTTTAAGACTCCTGAGGATCTTCCTCATCAGGCAGGAGTTCCCTTCACGAATGGTTTTTATTTTCCTTCCGCCCTTATTTTAAATTGAAGCTCTTTTTTGACTCCTTTAATCCGCTGGGTGCATTTTGTATTTTCACAGCTCCTTGTAAACCGCCCTGAGGCTGGTACTTATGCCAAGCAGTATCCGTGTGCGTGGTTGTCTGCCATCCACCCCCAGCACACAGTCCTTTCCCAAGACTAATCCGGCAGACAGACCTGGCCGCAGGGTGCCGAATTCCTGTTATTCAGAAAAAGGTTCCTCTCGCAGGTGCCCCAAGACGGAGGGCTGTTGCTGCTCAGCCAGGGAGGGGGGCCCGGCTCCAGGTTCAGACATGATAAAATAATAATAATAATAATAATAATAATAATAATTATTATTATTATTATTATTATTATTATTATTATTATTATTCCCTGGTGCACTGCTTTGGTCTTTCTGGGTCAGGATGGAAGTTTGTGGCCCTGCTTGTAGGTCTGCTTTTAAGCACTGCTGGAATTTATGGGCAAGCCTGAAGGGAAGGCTGTTTTTAGGGCTCTCTGTAAACCTCTCTGAGCTCCTCGGGGAGGGACAGCAGGATAAACAATAATTAATAATAATATTAGTAATAATAGATAATAATACCGGTTATTTATTGCTTAATTAAAGCTCCGCCCCGGATGCTCAGACCTGCCCCTTCACTCGGGGCTCCCGCAGCCCCCCACCTCAATTCCTCTCCCCGTGGGGACACCCGCAGCCCCCCCTTTTTTCTCCTCCTCCTCCTCCCCCCGCTGGTTCACCTTCATGGCCGCTCTGGGGCCTCCTCCTGCCTTCGCCTCGACCGGGACGGGACCGGAAGTGGGGGGAAGGGGCGCCAACGGCCCAACGATCTCCCGCTCGCGCCCCCGGCCCGCGCGTCCGCGCGTCACGGCCACTCGCCTGGGCCCGCGCATGCGCGCGAGCGGCCCCTCCGGCTCCACAACGAGTGGGAGGGGCGAGCCGGGGGATGGGGAGCGGGAAAGTGTCCGCTCGCCTCCCCAACAAACACCTCTCCGCCTTCCCATTGGCTGTCCCTGCGGCCCAATTAGCGCGCGAGCGCCCCGGGCAGCGGCACCAATCGCGGAGGGAGGGAAGGAGGGCGGATCCATTCTGTGGGAATTGGAGGGAGGCGTAAATTGCAGAAGGGATGGCCTTATTAGGTCGCCTTTGGGCAGGGGGAAAAAGGAAGCGTGACGTCACAACATTTCTGAAAAGACTAGAGGGCCTCTTACGTCACACGTCGTTCCATCCTTCCGGGGGGTCATGATTATGACGGAAACTATTGACATTCATTTTATTGGAATTTACAATACTAAAAATGCCTTTTGGAAATATTGAAAGAAGGTGAAGGAGCGCTAGCAACAACAGAAAAGTGGTCTCTAAATGGAGTTCATTTCTATCTGTTGGGTTCCTCCCCTCAGTTCCATATTCTGCAGCTGATTCCAAATTACAATTATAAATTTATAATATAAACTAGCCCCTAACGTTCCCGTCTTGCAAAAATATTTTAGAAACGCAGCTCTTCTTTAGAAAACAGGAACTTGCCTTCAGTATTTCGGCAAGTCTGTGCATGATCACTCAGAAAAGCAGATCTTGCAGTATAATCATGTCATATGGAGAGAACTAAGCAGAAAGCTTTTCCGCTCAGGAGTTTTGTCTTTTCCCAGCCTAATCCTGCATCTGCAAAACCTAAAGAGATTACACTGCCTTTCCTGGAGAGGTAAGCCATTCTTACTGGGCTATTTTTATCATTAAGTCTTCTTAAATTTACACCAAGGTCATTAACATAGCTATTACGGTTGGTAACATGGCATACAGAGCATTTGCTTAATAGTGCAATTAATAATACCAATAACATCAACATTTAATATTTAAATTTAGCATTTATTGACATGATATGTACTATGCCGGCATTATATATACATTCGTATCAATGTTTTGTACACATAAAGCAAAATATAAGCAATAGGAATGAAGAGTGGGAACTATAAAGGCCATTTGTATCCCTTTATTTTTCTGCAGTCATGAAAAACATCTTTTGTTTAGCTTCCCATGTCCAACACAACCCCAAAGATGCCTTATTTTCCTCCACAAGTAGAATCCACACAACCCAACCTACTTGCTGAATTAACTCGTTTTCTGACTTTGCACAATAACGAACTAGAAACCAACGGGCAGGATTCACACAACACACTCAAGCCATTAAACTAATCCAGGTTACACTAAGCAAGTGCGGCATGGTAGGGGAATGCAGCCGCTGGGTTTGTCAGTGGCCTGGTTAAAAGTGCTGCGTGAACATATCAGAAAAGCTTGCAAGCTTTTCATGTACTCCAATAGGAGAGAATCTCTGTAGCTCAGGGTTGAACTGTGGGAGTCCCTGGCGCTCTCTGAGCTTGAGGGTCGCCTTGCAGATGCTTCATCACACAAGTAGGGAACATCATCAGCAATGAGTGATCAGAATATCAGTGATGAGAACATGATCTATTTTCCTGTACTCCAGAACTCCTCCTCTAGGGAGGGCTGCAAAAAAGGAGATAAAAACAAGACTAGATGTCTCCAATATAGAATCAGTCGGAAAAGGAAAGGGCGCTATGAGTGTACCTTTGAGAATTAGCTTAATTCACCGCTGCTGGCTTCCGGGGAGGCTGCATAAGATTGCAGCGCTTACATTGCAACGATAGGACAACACTGAGGCTTCCCCCCTAAGTTTTGCAAAACCCATCCTTCTTCAAGCCCAGCGGAACTCTCGGCGTCGCGCCTTTTGTTTCCGCCCCTACCCAGACCGCGACTCCCCTCAGCTTCGCTCTCATTGGCTCAGGCCCGACCCCCCGCGCTTCTTCGGCGTCGGCGATTGGCTGCTCAGGGACCCAGGCGCGGTTGCCCGGGTGATGGCCGCGGTTGCCTACAGCGTGTGCGCTTCCGTATGCGGTCCCCCGTCGCGCCGAGGAAGAAGCCATGGCCAGCGTCCACGAGAGCCTGTATTTCAACCCCATGATGACCAACGGCGTGGTCCACGCCAATGTGTTCGGCATCAAGGATTGGGTCACCCCCTACAAGATGGCGCTGCTGGTGCTGATCAGGGAGCTGGGCCGGACTGGGCCGCATCTCAGCCTGCTCGAAAGGCGGCGTCTCAACCGGCTGCTGCTGCCGCTGTTGCAGGTTCGGGGGTGGAGGGGAAAGGGGGGCGGCCTGCATCGCTTTGGGGCTTTTTTGGTGGCGGGGGGGCACTTTAACAGCTTTTCCTATCTCACTCGGGGCCTTTAAGGTGAAGCAGGGTCTTGAGGTAAGGCAGGATTTCATTTATTCAATAAATAATTTAATTGAAATTATAAACTTAATTTAATTATGCATTTTTAATTTATAAGGCCGCCCAACTCAGTGTGACTCTGGGCGGCAGGCAACAAAAACACACAATAAATCCAAAAGAAGGAAAAAGCCACCTAACAACGAGCAAACCATATATAAATAGAAAATACAAAGGGCTGGAGTGGTGTAGTTTGTTCCTTAAGAAATCATTGGCTAAGTTTGCACAGCATATTAGACTAAATTGTGGTTGTTTGAGTGAATTGAGCACACTCATCCAAAGTTTATGTTATGGTTCCATGTCCTATATAAATCCATGCAATTGGGTTAATTCAGGAAATCATATTTCAGTTAATTGGGTTAATGGATTGTGTGAACACAGGCATTCTAACTGTTGGTGTTGCTTCCTGTTCTTTATTTAGGGTCCTGATATGACACTGTCTCGTTTGATTCAAGGTATTAATGAATGCTGCCCTGAAATAGCAAATTCTGTTCAAACAAGGTGTGTGGTTTTTTTTCTTTTTGCAAATACTAGTTTGTCTTATCTATGTCCCCTCTGTTTTGCTTACCCAAGAAGACTTGTTAGAGGTCTTAAATGTTCTTTGAAGGAGGTAGTTAGGGATTTAATAAATTTCTCTACAGTAAGTTTTAGGTATTTTAAGTGAGAAGGAAGTTTACGTTTTACAAGTTTGAAATGTTAGAAAAGGTTTCTTTGGATGAAAAAGCTTGTTCAGCTTGTGATCTTAATTATATAGATATTTGTAAGAGCTGCTTTGAATGTTCTTTCTAGGTAAAGAGACAAGGTTTAAATCAACTTAAAAAATAATCTGGTAAAAATTCATGGTACTTACATATACTGTACAGAAACACACTCTCTCAAACTTTCTTGCTTTTTAATGATAAAGTAACATCTAAGAATTTGTGCATAAAAACAAAGATAGTTGACCCATTTTTCTGTATTTGAATTTCAGTTTCTGGCCTTGAGGATAAACATGTTCTGTATCCCTTTTTTTGCTTTAGTGCTACAATTTCAATTCTGTTTTCAAAATAATTATTTTCTAACATTCATCTTTTGGGAGGGACTCTAGTTCACATGCTTTGCATATAGAACCAGGTGGCACATTGCATCATCCTCTGTTGGCTTCACTTATAGGATCAAGCTGATGGCAGAAGGAGAATTGAAAGATATGGAACAATTCTTTGATGATCTTTCAGACTCATTCAGTGGAACAGAACCAGAAGTTCACAAAACAAGTGTTGTAGGTAAAAATCTTAGTTACATCACATCTTGAAACTTCACTCCTTGGTTAAATCCTGACTGTCTGAGCTGGTGGTGACCGACAAGGAAATGGATTTTGCAACTGTATGATTTAAATCAATAAAAAAAATGTACCTGGTATGAAGTTACTGAGAAAGGATAAATTACATGTTGGGCTGTATTAGGAAAGGAACATAGCTGCTACTATCTCAATGCCTTCATACAAATTGTGGTGCAACAACAGGGTCGATAGCTTCTGTCAGGAAAAATTACATTATTTAGAGATTTTTAACAAGTAAGGGTGAAATATGATACAACGTTTATGGTATGGAGAAAGTAGGAAAACCTTTATCTCTTACTCATAATACTAGAGGAGCAGATTATGGCTTCTTAACACAATTCAGAAAATCTTACTGTAGTTTAAAACACTTGCTAACATTTTTCACAGTTATATTTTTAAATAACAAATGGCTGCAGCGTCCTGCTGCATAATACATAAAAGGTGGTCATGCACAACTTGGAAATGGCGGAAGAGGAATTCCTCAACCTCCTCTGTGATTTACACAATAGTTTTTCTTCAGTAAAACAAACCTGGCTTAGTTTGACATCCTTCATTTCTGTAGATTTGCAAAAATCGAAAAACTTTTGAAGCAGATATTCCTTGTGCTAAGTTTTTGCCATTTGTTTTCTTTGGGGAAATGGCTCCCTTTAGTGGTGGGAGTGGGTATTACAAGACCTGGGGGAGTCTTTGAATGTACTGCAGTGTAATCCCTCCGGAACTAACAAGGCAGGAGAAGGCCCACGTCCACAATAACAGTCCCCTTATTCTCTCTGTAGGCTTGTTTCTGCGTCACATGATCCTGGCCTATAATAAACTCTCCTTCAGCCAAGTGTACAAGCTTTACACAGCTCTCCAGCAGTACTTCCAGAATGATGAAAAGAAAAGCAGGGGCGATGAGAGTGAAATGGAGCTGACACGTTGTGGGGAACCGGATGAGGAGATGGAGAAAGAAGAACTTGATGGTCCACTCGGGTTATTATTCATTTCCATGAAATCTGTAGGCCGCCCCAATCTGTGAGGACCCTAAGCAGCTTATTACACGATAAGACAATACTATATGTGATCTAAAAAGCCCAAAGTCTGGAGAATCCAACAACCATCGAATAATCCAAAACACACACAAGGAGTCTGTCATCCTCTATAACCCAAAACTGAGGGATGAGCCAGGTTTTTAGAGCTCATTTAAATAAGGGAAGGGTGGGAGCCATACAAACTGCTAAAATTAAATATGTCTCGGTTTAGGCTGCTGGCTGGTTTAAGAGTAAAACCCAGGATTGATCCCAAGATTTCCTGATTTGTATGTGGCCAATTGAAACTCTTGGGTAAACTTCACAGAAAGTTAGTTCTGAAATTGTTCTGTTGTCTAGTTTGGCAGGGGGGACCTATAATTGTGTAACATGTATAGTTGCTGTAACTTTATCTGGGCCTAGCAAAACAGCTTGCAGGTTCTCCGAGCACCTTAGTTAATGAAGAATTTGGTTAGAATGGGAAAGCTGGCGTCCTCTCGTGTGACATCTGGAGAGCTTCTGCACTGTCCCTGCCCCCCCCCTTTGAACCAAGCTGCTGCCTTTGCTGCTTCTGTGCCTTGTAAGTTTCTGTTGAATTTCATGATGGGTTCTTTCTTTGAAGGGAGGAAGAGATCTCCTGCAACGGCCCACTCTCACAGAAGCAAGCAGAATACTTTCTCTCCCAACAGGTATGTTAACTGCTAAGCTCAAGGGAGACTGAGTATTTTGGTGCAGGGTTCCTCAACCTTGGCAACTTTAAGACGGGTGGACTTCAACTCCCAAAATCCCCCAGCCAGCTGGGAATTCTGGGAGTTGAAGTCCACCCGTCTTAAAGTTGCCAAGGTTGAGGAACCCTGTTTTGGTGTATTCTACTCCTCACAATGCTCCCACTATCACACCCTAAGATGTGGGAAAGTGAACAGTGGTATGTGGAAGATATTCTGCAGCTTGAGGACTAAATAGGGGAACAGGAAACCAAGCCATCCTCTGGATATGTCTGCAACTCCAAGGGGCAAAGTGTTTTATTTAACACATTTCCTATTATCTCCATGAAAGAGTATCTGTAGTTGATTGCACAAATATATACATAGCAAAGAAGCATATCATAACGTAAAGTGTAGATGTACTGGATTATAGTGGGCATTCCAGAACTGGGGAGCCACCAGGGAATTCCTGTCATCTTAAGCCATTGTGAGGCATCAGATCCCAGCTCTGCTGAGGATGGGTCTGCGCTGACTTCTGCAGCTTTTCATCTCGTAAACAAATTAGCAGTAGCCTCTTCCTCATTCTTTTAGCATAATAATGCAGAGCTTTGGCTAAATCTGTATTAGTTTGCAAACATCCTCTCAGTCCATCTTTCTTCCCCATGTGGAGAGTTCTGTTGCTGTGTTGATTAAAAAATGCTTAATTTTTATTGCTTCTGTAAATGTACATCTCTTATCAGAAATGAAAGGTTCTTTTTAAAAATTTAATCCTAGGCATCTTTGTTGAAAAATGATGAGACCAAAGCACTTTCTCCGGCATCTTTACAAAAGGAGCTGAACAACTTGTTAAAATTTAACCCAGATTTTGCTGAAGCGGTAGGTGTGGATTAATTTGTTTTCTTTGCTCCCGTTCTGTCGAGAATGTCACATTGCAGTGGGCTAAGCAACTGGACGGAAATCTCTGCGCCCATTAGTAGGGAGGCAAGGCAGACCAAAGAACTGCCATCTGGTGTCCTGATCCAGAAAAAAGTTGGGGCAAGTAGAAGGAGGTCTAGAAGCAGCAGGAATCTAGAGAGGCTGGTAGTGGAGATCCTGAAAAGAGAAGAGTCAGGAATCAGAGGAGGTGCTGGCCTATTGGAAGAAGCAAGTATCCAAAAGATAGAAGGATAAAAAGTAAATATTAGCTGGGGGTGACCCTGCTGGGAAAGAAGATGCATAGAAAATCACAGGTTGGAAAGACCTTGGAGACTTACTAGTCCAGTGTCTACAGAGCTGAGAAGGGGAGGAAGGTTGAAAGTCTTTTATTGAAGAAAGTGGTTGCCAAGTGGCTTAAATGCCCACTGAAATAGTGCGTATAAAGGCTGGGCTTATGCCACATGCTGAACCATAACATGCTTGGTTTGGTTTAGGCTTAGCATGATTTGTAAACCATGGGCTGTGACTGAATGTAATGTGTGAACCCAAGCAATTATGGGTTATCCAATCAACTTGTGGCTAAGGAAACAATGATTTAGCACAGTGGGTGAAGCCAGCATCCTCGGATACAGCTCTGGCAGTTTACGCATCCTTGGTTTGTTGTTTCCAGCATTATCTAAGCTACTTAAACAGCCTTCGAGTCCAAGATGTCTTCAGCTCAACACATAGCCTCCTTCACTACTTTGACCGCTTGATTCTCACTGGGGCAGAAAGCAAAAGTAATGGTGATGAAGGTTACGGGCGAAGCCTGAGATATGCCGCTCTTAACTTGGCTGCGCTGCACTGCCGATTTGGTCACTAGTGAGTTGTTTTTATCTAGTTGCAGAAGCTGGCACGGGACCCCTTTTTTCCCTTACTCTCCTATCCTCCCAGCCGTGGGTTTGGATCTGGATCAGATATTTCTAATATCCCTTAACAAGCAAAATTAACAGAAATGGCAAAGCGTTCTCACTTTTGCCCCTCTGCCCTGTGGAAACTGAATTTCTACTCCCACCCCAAAGAAAACTCGGCTGAGTTGCATCTCCTCAGTGCAGTGTTTCTCAACCTTGGCAACTTTAAGATGGGGGGACTTCAACTCCCAGAATTCCCCA